TCACTGGTCTCCACTTGGACATGGAGCCGATGACCACAACTCTTTAGGTGCAACCATCCAGTTCCCTATCCACCGAGTGGTCCTTCCATCAGATCCATGTCTCCCCAATTTAGAAACAAGGATGTAATGTGGGACAGTGACAAAGGCTTTGCACAAGTCCAGGTAGGTGACATCAGATGCTCTTCCCTTATCTGCCAGCACTGTGACCCCATCGTAGAAGGCCACCAAATCTGACAGGCACGATTGCCCTCAGTGAAGCCATGTTGGCTGTCACCAGTCACCTCCTCATTTTCCATCTGCCTTAGCAGTTTCCAGGAGGATCTGCTCCATGATCTTGCCAGGCACAGAGGTGACACTGACCAGCCTGTAGTTCCCTGGGTCTTCCTTCTTTCCCTTTTTAAAAATAGGGGTTACGTTCCCCAGTCAGCAAGAACTTCAGACTGCCACAACTTCTCAAATAGGATGGACAGTGGCTGAGCAACTTCATCCGCCAGTTCCCTCAGGACCCGCAGATGCATCTCATCAGGTCCCACAGGCTTGTGCACCTTCAGGCTCCTTAGATGGTCTCGAACCTGATCTTCTCCCACCACGGGCGGTTCTTCCTTCTCCCAGACCCTGCTCAAAAAACACTGGACATTTCTGCATGCCCATGACTCAGCCCCACATACCATGTCTGTGCCGTAGACCGGGGAGGTCATCTTGATCTCCCAGAAGTGCTGCCCATCCGCCAGCTCTTTGTTGCCCCGGATGGCGGCGGTGCCGCAGCTGTACTCCATGTGGAAGTTCACCTTGCGGTTGTCGCAGGTCAGCAGGGTGGCCGTCGACTTATTCACGTCGTCCCACACCCAGTCAAAATCTGTTCAGGAAGCACAGAGGGGTCAGGGATGGGCACAGGCCCTCAGGGAGCGATCCCTCAGCCAAAGCACAGGTGGACATTTGTTTTTTGAAGGCCTGTTCAAATTTTTTTATTTTTGTTACCATTTAAGAGGGTAAACCCTAAGCTGTGCACATTGGAGAGTGGCTTGAGGCCTGAGCTATCCTGCAGTGTCCCACCTAGCGTGGTTCAGCGCTCTGAACTCGACACTGTCAACATTAACCAGTTCCCATTTTGGCCAACACGAGACTCCGCAGACCCAGGCGGAGCCCTCCTCCCTTCCTTCGCTTCTCGCAGGCTCACGGGGCAGCTCCGCTATGCCACCGGCTTTCTCGGCCAGCCCCAGCCCCCCTCTGCCTACCCCTCCCCTTGGAGCACACCCTGGGCACCCTGCCAGCCCCCCAGGGATCAGCAGCACGGCGGCTGCCACCACGAGGGCCAGTTTCACTGGTGGCCTCAGCCGGGGTTGAAAGCAGGGCCCCAGTAGTGAACTCTGATGCGATGCGTTACTGAGTTCAGCGCTCAGCCCTTGAAACCATCGCAGGAGGCACGTGCCGGTAATCCTCCTACGGCCTGCAAGGTGTGAACAAAGGAGCACCGAACCTCGGGACGGAGCTAAGGGCCCCCGGGGAAAGCAAAGGACCTGTGCAGGGGCGCAGACCGTGCCACCAGGCTAGGACTGTCCCCTCCTCAGACCCCAGAGGGCCGCTGGGGAGCCCCTTGCTTACACTCGTCCTCCTCGCCGCACTGGCAGTCCTTGACGCGGTGCAGGGCATGCAGGCTGGAGCAGTAGGGCGCTTCGCTCTGGTTCTCGCAGTTGCAGTAGGACTCTCCGGTCACGGGGATGGCGCTGGGGATGGAAGGCGAGAGGGAGGAAAACTCCGGCTCCGAATCCGAGTCACTGTGCTGCCGGGGAGAACAGAGGAACGGTCACTACTGAACACCCCTGGCTCAGCGAGCTGGGCTGGCGGAGCTGTGCGAGGTCTGGCATGCTGCAGAGCTGTCTGGGGACGTCCCTAGGCTTGTGCTGGTGACAGCAGGGCTGCGTTGCACCCCAGCCTGGCCAGCCATGCAGGGAGGCGAGGGGCTGAGCCAGTGGAATTGCCATGCCCTGGGAGCTGGCTCGCATCTGTCTGAGCCACAGAGACCTCTCGGCACAGGGCACTCTGCAACACAGGTATGTGCTTTGTGCCTTCCAGAGGCGAGGAGCTGTCCCAGCCAGCAAGCAGCATGACAGCCCGAGTCTTTAACACAGGTATTTTTAAGCAAACTCTGTGCTAAAGTGACAGTTTTCACCAGTTCCAGCCAGCTGGAGAGCCCAGCCGAGGCATCAGGACACCAGAGCACGCTGCTGGAACCACGGCTCCAGAGAGCAGGGGAGCTGCCGAGGACAGAGGAGGCGACGAGGACAAGGAGGAAAAGGGACAGGAGGCCAGGCAGGGGAGAGGGCGGAACAAAGGGGAACCAGTTCAGCAGCACGGCCGCAGACAGGCCCACAGGGAACCCACGGAATGATTAAAAGGCTTTTGTTTACTTTCATGCATGAAGACAAAAACTTGATTTACTGTTTCCCAGTGCCAAGAGACCAATGTGTCCTTCACCGGACGCTGTAAGAGTCAAAGCCTCGTCTCGCTCCCTGTGTTACAGGAGGTTTGGTATCACCTAATGGAGTCTCTTACCAAGGTCACAGCGAGTTACTCCAGGTTTACATGCCGGTCAGGTGTACCTGCTCATTATTCACCCCCACGGCAGACTTTCTAAGCAGTATTTAAAGACAAAAATCCTTTAAATTCCTGTTCTTGCAGCCATGTAAGACAGCAGGACTTGAAATGACTCGGGCTGACTTAGGTACTGCCCACCCCTCCTCCTCCAGCATGCATATCACAAACTTGGTCTTCTATCAGCCCTTCCTAACTGCTGCTATCCAGCTGTTCCCGTTACTGCAGAAACACAAAGCTACCCTGGCCACAGAGAAAAGGCTCGTTTTCTAGGAGCACAGTGCCTGGGTTTGGACACCGTGCTCTGGCAGTGGCTCGTAAGGCTTTAGCCTAGCTTTGAAGCTGCAGGAGCTGTTTCTTGCTTCCCCACTGCTGAATGGGGAACTGAACTCGCACACTGAAGGACTGGGGAAAAGAGGGAAGGACGGCAGAGGTGAATCTCAGTCACCCCTCGCACTGTTGGGCTGACTGCACTTCCCACCTTCCAGCACACCGGGGTTCAGGAGCGATACGCATGTCACAAAGTGTGAGAGAATTTCAGTTGGAAGATACCGGAGGTTGTAACTTCACCAGCTGAAGCAGCCCTGCTCCCTCCACCACCACCCATCAGCCGCACAAAGACCAGTAGTTATAGCGCAGCCGCACAGCAAGCCAGACTGGGGAACTGGTCCAGTTTGAACACATCTACTTAAAAAAGAACATTTTAGAAATATTGTACGTACTTTATATACAACACACGTACTTTGTATGTTCAAAAAGCATCAAGCTCAATATCGATCAGGTCCCTGGCTCAGCTAACGACAAAGCATGGAGCTGTGGTGCACAACTGGGAAGCAGCTTGGCCCTTCTCTGCGCTGGGGAGATGTGCCCAGGAGGCTCAGTAGATGGCCAGTATATTTTATCAAGTTTTTTCTGATTTTTGCCAGTTCCACATGCTGAAGTACCAACTGCTCAGACCCCAAGTACGTGCCTGCTGTCAGCAGAGAGGAAAGTTTCCCCTTGTGTCATTTCGGAGCCACCTGAGCACCCGCCTACCTGCCCGTCAGAGTCGTAGCCCCAGCCACGCGCGCCAGTGGCCAAGGCGACCGCCCGCGTGTCCACCTCGCGCCGCACCCCACTCAGGACAAAGTGCCAAGCCCGGCTGCTCCGCGTGCGTCGTGCCATGCTGTTCTGAGAGAGGTAAGCTGGGGGGGCAAGGGAGAGGAGGTTACACACAGCACCTGCGTCCCGCTTCCACCCACTGGGCTCTGCTCTCTGAAGTGACCTTCCCCAGGTCACCACAGCCCCCTTGGGAGCGGATCAGCACAAACTAGTACTAGTTCAGATGCTGAACTGGCCCCCAGAAACGCTCCCAATACCCAGTAGCAGCTGCCTCCTCCGCAGCGCGTGGATCCAGCATCCGCCCCTGATCAGGATGCTGATCGGGAGCATCGGGATGGGCAGCCACCAAGGCACGGCCTCCCCAGTGCCCAGTCACCCTCCGGCAGCTGCCCGGGCTCCGGCTGCTTTCCTCAGCCACCTGCACCGCTCTGTGCGGCCAAGCTGCGTGTCTGTCCACAGGACAGGCTGTCTGCTCGCCTCCAAGCAACGGCCCGCTCCAAGAAGACTTTGCTCTCAGCGTTTGGGGTGGTGGAGAGACCACTTCCTTGCTCGCTGAAGGGACACCGGCCTTTTCACAGGCCTGTCCTGACTTGCCTCAAGGGCAACAGACAGAAGTGAAACAGCTGCTTCTCTACCCAG